TTGGAATTATAAATATGAGCGTAGTTCGTCTGTTAATATCACATGCATTTTTTTGTTTGTTGTTTTTTTTAGTTTGTTACTCAGACGCAGGCAGTGCGCTGCATGAGACAAAAGAGTAATCTAGCCAAAACCACCGCATAGCCGCTCTTTAGTGTAGATGCATGTTGATTTTATCAGACGATGCCGCGATCATAAATGAGAGTGACTCCTGGTTAACATGTATTAAAAGGGGTCATGTTTAGTCACTATTTAGTGTGGTATTTTTTGACAATATTCACTCATCATGACAGTAAAATAGGGCATTCTAAGTCAATATACTGCAGTATTTCCTCTCTCAATCAGTAGAAAATATGGGTAACACCTGGTCATGCATGAAAAAAAAAAATACCGTCATGAACCGTGAAACCGGTATAATTTTGAAAAATACCGTGATATAAATTTTTGGTCATACCGCCCAGCACTACTATCTATTAGGGGTGTAACGCTACACAGAAGTCACGGTTCGGTACGTAACCCGGTTTTGGGGTCATGGTTCGATATGAGTTTGGTACAACAGGAAATGTATTTTTTCATTTATTTTGAACAGACAGTAGTGCTACATACATGTAGCATGAGCAGTTGTTTTTGATTTGAATTAGATTGTATAATTTCAAGATTTAATGCAAAAACAGAACGGTCTGACTTTAGATTTGTGAAACTATGCTACATAAGACACCTGCGCAAAACAAAAACAGCAGACGGACTGAATGAAAATGCATATTTATTCTCTGACAGCAGGTGGCGCTTATGGAACAGCAGCAATACAGTGTTTCCTTGGTTACCACTGTAAACAAAGCAGCTGCGCTTATAAACACTACTTTAATATGCATTATATAGAGGTAAGATGAAAAGAAAATGCCATTGAAACACTTCTGGAGACGGTCAGCTCCTCTCAGAGATGCATTCATATAAACCCCCACATATTTGTCTTTTTATATTTCGAGCATCGCGAACAGTGAGCTTGATCTGCCTGATACAGTATTTTCTCCTCTTTACAGACTTCATAAAAATTCCACACAAATTACATTTTGGGAAATGATTGCAATGCAATTTGTGTGCAATTCTGGAATAGAGATCGGCCAAAATAAAACAAAAAAAAATAATTTTTCCGATTTGTAGCTGGTCGACCGGTGCATCTCTAGAACCTGAAACTTTCCCACACCGCTGATTTAAAACGGTTCTTCTGGTGCGTAGATCGTCTCTTCTGCTCTTTCCTGATGTGACGGTTAGCGTTGCATTACCGCGTGCGCCCCCTTTTGGATTGATCGCCTGTGACTGACTGTTTTCACCATCTGACTGCATGAACCGAACCGTGACGTCTGTACCGTGACGGTTCAGGACGAATACATGTATGATACACCCCTACTATCTATCTGTATGTATGGTGAACTAGCTTAGTATTTCTGCTGAAACTGGTCAGACTGTTGGTTCAGGTTAGTTTATGCTGGTTATAAAGCATAACTTAAGGCTGGAATACACTACACGATTTTTGCCCCAATTTACTGCCGATTTACTGTCTGGAGAAGTTAACGCTAGTTGCTGAAAGTCAGAGCCAGTCTGCAGATTTAGTAGACAGATTTGATAGAAAACAGCATAGTGTTTGACGGTCACAGACACAGATTGTTTTAGCTTCAGACTCTGATTCCATCCAGTTGGAGGATATCGAACATGTTTGATGTCTTCAGCAGATTTTAGTACAGTGTCAAACTGTGCATTCATCTGTTTAGACCAGTAAAGGCATGACGAGATATGTCTGTTTTCCATCACAGGTATTTGCTCAAGCCTCCAGCGTGTCCTTGACTAAGATGGACGTCAGTAATCTGGCGATGGTGATGGCGCCAAACTGCCTGCGCTGCCAGTCGGACGACCCGCGCATCATTTTCGAGAACACGCGGAAAGAGATGAGCTTCATGCGCGTGCTGATCCAGCACCTCGACACCAGCTTCATGGACGGGGTGCTATAGCACAAACACACACGTTAGCATTCACACCTAACGCCCACACATGAATCACCCGGCAAACAACCTCGACAAGCCTCTTCCTGTACACAACACACATAAAACATAGTCACGCTCACCTTCCACAACGTTTAGGTCAAATCCGCCATCCTCTCTGATTTCTGATTAGATAAACCATCCGTCCTCACATGATAGTGACTGTCCTGCTTTGGTTTCTAGTGTGCATGTACGTGCCGAATGTGTTCATTTCTGTTTTCTAACTCGACTGACTTGTAGAACGGTCCGTCTGATTTTATATGATTAATTTATTTGTTATTTATTTGAATAAGGGTTTGTAAGTATTGTACTGCCTTTTGAAATAGAAAACATCTGTCTTTACTGATCACATGCATTGATCTGTGTGTGTGTGAGTGAGTGAGTGAGTGAGTGAGTGAGTGAGTGTGTGAGTGCGTGAGTGTGTGTGAGTGAGTGTGAGCGAGCGTGCGTGCGTGCGTGTGAGCGAGCGTGCGTGCGTGAGCGTGTGCGTGTGAATAAGTGCGTGTGTATGTGTTCATTTATCACTATTGTTTTATACACTATTATGTATGTCTCACTTACATGGTACAACACAAGTGCCCCTCATAGTGAACTACCTGCGGTAAAGGTGAAGTGTGTAAATTATGTGTAAAAATGCACTTTCTGAACTCGCACACACTGAACTCTAATAGCTAATTGTTGAGTCAGAAAGTGTTTAACATCCAGAATATTATGTGCTTCACCTTTAAATTCTCACATATGCTCACACAAGCATCCAAACGGCCTCATTTACACACACACACACACACACACACACACACACTGATTTGGTTTGGTGCTTGTAATGATCTATATCACACTGCCAAACACACAATATTGATACTCGGTGCCCATTCCTGCCTCCAGGAGGTGTACCGGTGAGAAACAAGCGCCACAGAAGAGAGACAAGACAATAATGGAGGGAGAGATAAACAGAGGAGAGAATCTCACCAAGAAATGGCCAGGTCATATTTCACCACAAAATCCAAAAAAATAAATAAAAGAAAGAAATGTGAATTTGAGAGTTTGAGAAATTGAGGGTTGAACATAACCCATGTCATGATATAAAAAATGTATTACAAATTATCTTAAATATACAGTATGTTGTGTAAAGAGAATAAAGGGCCAAATGTATAAATAAATAAAAGTGGCTCTAAAATTATTATAAATAGCCAAATATTATTTTGAATGTTTTTAATTGGATTTTGAGGGTAGAACATGTTATTACATTATAAAATAAATCAATAAATGAATAACAAATAGCTCTAAAATGATTATAAATGGCCCAGATATTATTTTAAATAGTTTTAATTGGAGTTAGAGGGTTGAACATAATATCATGATAATAAAAATGACAATTTTAAGATATACAATTTAATATATATTAATATTTAATCATATTAATTGTATATTAAATTATATGTAATGGCCCTTCATATTCTAAATATTATTTCAAATATTATTAATTTGATTTTGAGGTGAAATATGAGCTGAACGTGCTCTTGACAGACAAAGATGTTTGTATGTTTGGCTTCTCCTCATCTCTGCACACCCTGATCTGTCATGGCCACACGTTCACGTCCTCATCTGTACAGAACAATGTGTAAAAAAATACAAATAAAAAGCTAAAACAGAAGAAAAGAAGATAACAAAATACTACAGTGTTTGACAGTAGGAGCGTTTAGGTTTGGATCTCAAAACTCATCCATTAGCAAAAACTTAGATTTAAAAAATAACAATAAAAAAGCAGATATGATATGAAATATGATTCTATGTCTGATGAAAAGGGAAGAAAATCCATGAGCAGAGCACTGTGACCTGCGTCCTGAGACCAGCACACACACACACACACACACACACGACAGGGAGGATTATGGGAGATTGTGCTGTATGCAGAGATGTTTCTCGTCACAGGTTTACGCTCACGGTCTTATTACTGTATTTATGGAGTCATGTTAATAAACCCCCTCTCCCTCCTTTTGTTCTGAGGGCAAAGGTTACTCTGGACGTTACGGTCGAGCTGAACATTGTTTATTAAAGAGTTCAAAGGATTCAATGTCTGCTGTGATCTTTTTACAAACACACACACAATCATGTGCAACCAGACACAATGGCTATTATTACTTTATGATTTTAGCAGATTATAATCTAGTAGCAGATTGCTTATATTTTACATTTTTTATATATTTTGAATGAAGACGCTTGAAGCTTTATTTTTCACATTTCAAAAATAATATAAGTAATAAATAATAAAAAAATACATGGCTAAAGTATGGTGAAATGGAAATAGTTTTTGCAAAATATCTTATTATCCTTAAAATAAATCAATTATAAATGTGCCTCAGCAGCCTATAATACAGCTGACTCAAAACCATTGAGTCTAAAGAAATTATGTTTTAAATTTCAAGACAAAATAACAAAAAATGAGGCTCCTACATTAACTTTTACATCTACCACATAAACTAAACAATTATTTAAAAAATACGTAAGTACAAACAATTTCATAGTGATAAAAGTTAACTTTAAATAAAACTTTAAAAACAGTGTTTGCTGGGCATTTTAAATCTGTATTTTTAGATGGTTTATTTAGATTAATTTATTTTATTAAGTACTATTTCTGCTACTTTGCGAATCAGAATCGCAATGTACAAAAGTATAAAAATAAAAATGCTTTAAATGCTAAAAGTGCTTTTTCCCTCACTGCGCCTGCACAAAAATATAACTTTAACTAGGCCTATTTAATCTTTAATGCAGCAAGAAAGAAAACAAAAAGAGGGAGATCTTTTGATAAAATAACGTTATTATCACAGGATATGTGAATCATTGTCCATCATTTTGCAATTAGTAATAAAGACAAACACGTCGCAAAATTATAAATATTTCAGTTTTAAACTGGCGAGCCAGTGCATGCCGCACAAACAATTTGAGAAGAAGTTTTAAACTCCAGTCAATTCATTAAGCTACAGAAAGTGAAAGTAAAAACTGACCGAGCTTTCGGCATCTGACGCTGCATTAACGGCACATATTCTCTCAGAGGAGACGAGAGATTTTTATTGTCTTAAAGGGATAGTTCGCCCAAAAATTTAAATTACCCCATGATTTACTCACCCTCAAGCCAGGTGTATATGACATTCTTCTTTCAGACGAATACAATCGAAGTTATATTAAAAAACATCCTGGCTCTTCCAAGCTTTATACTGGGACTGGATGGTAGCCCAAAATTTTAAATCCAAAAAATTTAACCAATCCGTTATAAAAGAAGTCCACACGGCTCCTGGGGGTTAATAAAGTCCTTCTGAAGTGACGCGATGCATTTGTGTAAGAAAAATATCCATATTTACACCTTAATAAATCTTAATCTCTAGCTTCCGCTAACTGTCGTACACACGTTCACAAGAGAGTGGTGTCCAGCGGATGACGTAGACGTGGAAGCGCAGAGGAAAGAGCAAAACAAAACACCAGTCACGAATTAGTAGTACAAAACGAGGATTTGTAAAGAAAAATGTCGGAGGATTTCAATATAAGCCAAGAAGACACTGGTTTTCATTTGCTGTAAACAAAAATTGTTTCTAGCGAGACTAGCATATTCTTACCGGAGTTTACGCTATGCCTACGTCATCCACTGGACGCCACTCTCTTGAGGGTGAGTAAATCATGGGGTAATTTAATTTTTGGGTGAACTAACCCTTTAATTTATTTTCTAAAAAAAAAATAAAAAATTCTATACGTAGTGAAAAAACAACAACAACAGAATTGAAGTATTTCGTGTTAAACAAGTTTTTGAACTTTCTTTGTCTGTAGGCTAATAAAGGTCTTATTTTGATGACTGATTATTACAGTGTTCGGGCATAGGCTACTTAAGACAGAATTTTAATTATAAGCCTATTCATTGTGTAATATATCTAAATGTTTTAAATAATTTTCAATGAGGAGTAAGCTAATTTAATCATTTATTATCCGTGCATCAGTTGTGTGGTAATGAGCTATGAAATTATTGCAGGGCAAATGAATTGTAGTAGACCTATAAATTTTATAATAAAAGTACCATAATAATAATAATGATAATGATGATAGCAATGGCAATCATTTATTACATTAATTGGAAATGACAAATCCTCTCCATCACCTGATGCTTTTTTTTTTTTAGATATCTCTGGCTATCGTCCATATACACGGTGTCATCGTCTGCGCATTTAGAGTATTTCACACGTATAGTGTGAGCACATAAATCGTGCTCGACAATCGGACCGTACAGTGTGAGCACGTAAATCGTAAGCTTTGACTTTACACCGCATGCGATCTGCTTTTACATTGTGAGCTCGTACCTTGATGAAATCACACAGAAATCGCACAGTGTATGCCTGGCCTTATACAACAGTTTTTTCTGGTCCTCGATTCTGATTGGCTGATAAGAGTGCGGTATTACATCGTGTCAACACCGGACACGAGCGGCGCGACAAAATACTATAGTACTCATTATAATCAGTGATGCTGTCTACACTGGAATGCGGCGCGGCGCAGCACGACAAATCCCTGACTGAAAGGTGCTGCCGCGTTCTATTTATGACATACTGACACAAATTTCAAATGATTTTCAATGGTCGCTTTGTCGCGTCTGGTGTAGACTGACTTTAGCTGTTGCGGCGCAACACGACAACTGTTGCGTCCGGTGTAGACACGGTGTTAGAGTAATAACAGAACTCCTTCAACAGTTTCACCGCTTGTATCACTCCGCTTGCAGTATTTCTCACAGCGACTGTCATGGCGGACGACCAAATTCATTATAATTTTAAAAATAATACTGTTTTTGTGTTACGGAATGTAATTTTAATATCACTCCGCTTGCAGTATTTCTCACAGCGAGTGTCATGGCGGACGACCAAATTCATTATAATTTTAAAAATAATACTGTTTTTGTGTTACGGAATGTCATTTTACGAGTTTTTTAGGCGAGAATGTACTCGTTTAGACTATGCGGAATATGCGGTTTGTTAATAAAGATAACGTCTATTTGAAAATGTGCTTTGACATTTTCGGAGATGTGAGCTCCAGGGCGTCAGCGGCCGTTCAGCGCTCATGAACCCGCTGAGAGCTGCCTCAATTCGGCCAGATCTTCTGGAATTTGATAGTCTCTGTAGTGGTTAAACATGAGATATGAATCGTTTTGGGTAAATCTAACAGGCAGTCTTTGGTCTCATTAATCTATTATTTGTTCCAGAGCAAATAATTTTGGCTGAGAGCAAAATCTCATCACGTTATATGTAACTTCAATGATAGGCTAAATATCAGAGCGCTGCCTTTATACTTTTGACTGAATTGCCTAGCAACTTTTATAATGGCTGTTGTTGTTTATTAAATATTATTATTCAATAAATA